TTCTGGGGCTGCGTCTCGGCCAGAAAAAAAGCCCCTTGGAGAGGGACGGAGGTACGGCGGGGCCCGGGGCTTTGTTACACAGGCTCAGGGTTCCCGACACGGCATGACAGGTGTGTGGGGAGGGGTCGCTCTTCCCGCTGGGCAGGGCAGGGCACACCCAGATGTCATTGTGTCTTCGCTGCCATCCAGCTAGTATTCCCCTTGCCGCCGGGCCTCTACCTTTCCGGGGGGCTCGGCAGTGTCCCCCAGGGCAGCAGGTCTTGAAATCAAGACAGCCGGGAGATGATGTGTCAGGACGGTCTACCTTTTAGAGCTGCCGTTTCAGGCCTTCTGGCAGATGTTGGGTCACACTTGCTTTTCTTCAAAAAAAGGGAGGGCTAGCTAGTCATTTCTCATCCCCCCCCCTCACCTGCAAATTAAGATTCAGATTTTGTCGCAAGGCTGTAGGACTGCGAGGCAGGTGCTTTTGCCTTATGCCCAGGAGGGTAAAAAATTAGCTGGGGGCTCTCTGCCTATACAGTTGTAAGATCTGGGCCACAGTAAATCCTTTTCTTTTCTTTTTTTCCCCAGAAGGTAGTGGTGTAAACCATTACCCATCTGTAGTAATTTTGCTTGTATTCCGTAAGCTAAAAATCAAGGGGAACTCTTGCTGGGTCCAAAGGGGCTTATAGGCTGTAGGAGCATTTCTGTGATGATGTAAGCCCTTCAGGGCTCCCGTCTCTGACTTCCTGGTTCTCTGGCAGCCCCTGACACCAGCTTCAGAAAACATGTGGCATATCATAGTGAACTGTGCCTTTTTTCAGTGAGGTCCGCTGCAACTGAGTGATGTAAGGGCTTTTCCCCTTCTGTTGACACCTGCTTCACTTTTAACAAAGGAAATGGAGTTGGGGGTCTCTCAAGTTAACCATTTTAGATTACAAAAAATAGCAATAATCTTCTGCTACACCAGAAAAACAGTCTCAAAATTTTGTATGTGCTTTGTATTCCAGTTTTGAACAGAATAAAACTTCCAATAGGAGACTCGTTTGACTTCAACAGTGCAAAACAAATTTAAGTAAATGTAAACCTTGCAGTATTTCTTGTTAGAGGAAATGATTTTGTGAATAAACCGGATGATTGTGTACAAGAATGAAATTTCAAAATTGGCCTTCTCTTTCTGGAGTGCCTGACTAGACTGTGGTAGGAGCATCAGAAAAGAAGTAAAATTCTGGGTTTTTTTGTTTTTGTTTTTAATCGAGTAAGGATTATTAAGTACAGTGATAAGTAAGTGTTCCACACTTTTCCTGACACATTAAACAGCAGCTAAACTATAAACCACTACCATGGGATATTTTTGGCACGTATAAGATACTTTCAGAACTGAAACATCAGCAGCTACAAATAGCTTATTTTGAATTCCTTTTTGAATATTGAACTTATGAATATAAAACAGTATGTTGCACTACTTTGTATTCACTGGAGAGTTTGGTTGTAAGAACTGTCAGGGAGACTATGGCAGCTGGTTATCTCTTGCTTTCAAATCAGAAGGAACTATTGATCGCAGAACACACAATGATTAACCTGCTGTCCTACTGGTACTATTCATGTTTCTCTTGGTATAGAGCAGCACAATTTAATATTTTTGGATTTTATTTTAAGAGGTGGCCTGCACAAAAAAAATCTTTTGGCATAATTCCTTTTGCATATTTTATTGCAGATGGAGCTGTATAAATGTTGACTGGTCATTTAGTCTCCAGATCAGACCATATTTTGTAACTACCACTTCATTAAAAGTGTACTTAGAATCCACTGACAGATGGTACGAGATAACACAGACTATATCTGGCTTTTCTCTTATAACATTGAATAATTTTATTAACAGAATAGTGCGAGTCAAATCCCTGTTGACTTATCTAGTGTTTCCTTACCAGTCTATCATTATTCAGGAGCCTTCAATATTCTTACCTGAACTATTAGGCTGTTTTAGACACTTATCAGTCAGCTCCTAATATTAATGAGTCCTAATTTTTCAGGGCTCAAATAATCAACACTACTTTTGCAAGTGAAGGGACCTCAACAGCTTCTGTACAATCAATCTTTGATTTAAAGCAGGGTTGTCCAACTTCTAAGACCACAGGGACCACACCAGTATAGACCACATGTTGCATGGGCTGTGCCAGGTGCACCACATAGACACTTTCTTTTTCTCCCTGCCCTCCCCAACCACTGTACCATGTGGGTACTTCCCAACTGGTGCACTGTTCTGTGTGGGTATGCATACTCCCTGCAAGGCATTCCCTCCTACTGCTGCATGTGGTCCTGAATCTCCCCCC